GGGTGACAATTCTGCTATGAGTATTATTATTTTTATGATACACTTTCTGCCTTCCTGTCATTATCAGGAGTTAGAAATGTAATGGCTATGTAATAGAGTAGAAACTTCATTATCCTAAACTGCTGGGACATTTCCCTACAGCGAATATACCTTTATATTTTCTACTCTTCACTTATTTATCAGCATAGGTCGGCATTGATGTACAGAGCCGACAAAAGACCTTGTTTATATCATCATATTGAAGCCAACTCCATCGATCAAGCCGGTGTGGCTGAAACTTTCTCTCCCTCTTCTTCTCATACTCCCTGTCACTCTCCTTTAATTCCTCCGGTGACTTTCTTTTATTTGAGCCAGGCGCTTGGCTGGTATTAAAAACATTTTCACGAATGGTTAGGTGGGGCGAAAGTCTGTAGTGAAGGAGCGCGCTCCCGCGAAATAATTTAACAAAATTGCTTGTCAAAATACCAATACCACAGGACAATGTAATTGTATGTCTTTACTATTTCTTGTTTTTTTTAAAGCAATATTTTGAATGGCCGAGTGGGCAAGTGGAAAGTACGTTATGCTGGCCCGGGGTGTCTAAATAGTGCTTCCGGGCCAGCGGGACATTTATAATGTCTAGCCCTGAGATGCTTCCCAAATAACTTTGTATTAACATAAGGCTGTGGTTTTTGTCTGGTGTGTCTTTGTGTGGCAGTGTGTCTGACTGTAAATAGGTCATCCATGTTGACTGAGTCTTTATATTCAGTCAGCAGAGCGTAGATTTCCCCAACCCTGGTACCTCTTTTTCTTATGATTTGTCATCCAGCAGTCAGCAGGTTATTAGAGACAGCTTTTACATTTTAATGTCGCAAACCAACCAGGGTGCAAACTTGACAAGATATCACTTTTCAGAGAAAAGCTGACAGTTTATTCCCGTCGTTGCTAAGTAGCAATAAGTCCAATATGAAATCTGTGCTTAGTCACTCCATTATAAGCCCAAGTGAACTGTGAATAGCAGCTTCTTAACACAATCGCACTGAATGGGAAAGAGAAGGAACATTTGAACACTATGAGGAAAGACAACTGTGGTTGATTTCTTAAAAGCTCATAAAGGTTTTCATTCAAGTCTGGAATTTTCTTTTTGGTCATATTAATCAACAATCAATATCAACTTGAGCAGGTTGAAATAACCTTTTTTAGTCTGCACATTGAAATCAAGTTATTTTGTCCCCTGTTGTCTCCAAAAGTTTTCAGAATGCCTCCATTATAATGAAGTCAGTAAAAAAAGAAAGAAAACAACAACGCACAAACTTAGACCCTCGATGAAGACAAAGAAAATTTTTTGTCACTACATAATTAGGCAGGAAAAATAGAAGCCTTTGGTAGTCGCTCACAGAGCAGGATGCCCTCATTGACGAAGCGTACAATACCTGGGGTGGGAACAT